GTTGGCGACGAGCGTGGAAAACCAAACGATCCTCTCCCGACACGTTAGTGCTAGCAGCAGAGGCGACGACATATATATATATATATATGAGAGAGAGAATTGTGTGGTAATTCATCAGCACGTCAATCTCATTTAGCCGTGATTATTGCCACCTCACAAGCAAAGGTATAAATGTGGTAAAGCTGTGTTTGCATCATTTTCATGCAGATTAATTGATGGCCCATATGTGGCTTATAGATTGATTGGATTAGAATATCTTTTACCACCAGTGTCTCGCGACACAGATCAACAGGTTCTATAGATTGATGGGCGGGCCAAATATTCTTAATGTAGCCCCTTAAGTGGGGATGACGTTAAGAGGCTATCGAAATTTCAAATAACTTAGACTTGCAAATAACTTAAAATTTTGGGTTATTTTAAGCTCATAAAATAATTCAAAAAATAGACTTTCTCAGCCTAAACAATAATTAAAAAATTGGATTTTCTGAACCGGAAAATTGATTCAAAATAAAGACTAATTTGACTTGCAAATAATTTAAAATTTTGAACATTTGGACAATATTATTGACTTAAAATAAAATAAATTGTATGTTATAAAATACAAATTAATTACTCAGATTATTGTTCAATTCATTTCAAGAGAATAAAAATTAAAACGCACATGAGACTTATAAAAGATTCATGAAAAACTGATTGCTAGCCAATTAATGTGATTGAATTTATCTTTAACTTCAAATGTGATTAGAATTTAAATTCATAAATTGGATAATTAAACACATAGACGTCTTTTTTAAATGCTAAACAGAGGCTATGTCAATTCGTCATTGAATCTGCAACTCCAGTTCACAAACAGATAGAAGGTGTTTCTTCTTAACGCTCAAAATGAAACTTGGGTGCATTTTAAAGTCAGTAGTTTTTGCATAGCTTTCAAGATGTTTAAATAATTTTATGAATTTTTGATTCTTAAGATAGTGTTTGATTTGGATATAAATACCTTACAATTTGTGCAAACGTAAAAAGATCTCTTCGTATTTGCAATATATTTGCAAGCAAACAGAAAATAGTACTTTAAAAAGCTTAATTGAATATTTGCATGCATCAATGTATTCATTCAAATAAAAAAAAAATTATATAAATTTAAATCATACATGCTTTGTTTTTAAATCAATTCTTAATTCAATCAATGCTTTAAAATCATACAAATTACCTCAAGGCATGCAAAGTTACCTAAAAGTCAAATATATGAATTTAAATGTCTGCATGGTCTCACACAATCGTGATAAGCAATTAATCTCATTCATCTTAAGAAAATTGTGTACACTAATATAAAATAATTTTGAAATATGTTGCTCTAAGAAGCA